TAAAATGAACACTCGTCATGAAATTTACCAAGGGTTTTGGATAACTTAAAAGTGAAAAAACCCAGATTCGAGTCCCGGTCTAATTAGTACAACGGTTAAATTTTTCACGAATCTTATAGTAACAAATACTAAAGTTATTTATATTTTATTATTTTTATAATTATTTAGTAGAAATAAAAGTGGTTTAAATTAATTAAAAGAGCAATAATTAAAGTAATAATTTCTCTTAATTAAATATTTTTTTCATTAACAATTGGAAATTGATTTTATAAAACTGTAAATATATATTTAATTATATAAAAAATAGAACACACACCTAAAAGATTTTAGAAATATTGGAACGATTTATTCTACCCTGAACAAAGCCGATCTGATACATAATAGCTGACCTAAAGGAAGTGAAACGGGTTGGGAACGCTTAGACGGCTCGAAAACCGATGAAATAAATTTTCATTCGGAACACTCCTATACGATACAGCACTTCTTCATATCATGGATTTCAATTAATCACTCTGAACAATAATTACTGCGCTTCGCGTTCACCTAATGGAATGATGGAAACAATTTCTTTTCAAACTTGTACATTATCATGTACAAGGGTTAGGCTACTTTTTTGATAATACAATAAGAGTAATGTATAGTACTTTTCATACCTTTATGAATTAATAATAGCTGCAGGTAATATAATTTAAGGAGTCATTTAAAATAGTAATTTGGAAGTATATGTAGTTGTTAGAAAAAATAATGTGATTATAGTAAATTTTTTATCAACCCTTTTAAGTGCATGTTTCTTTTATAGATAAAACTAATTTTTTATATTCCTGTCTTTTAAGTGATATTGAAAAAATTTTTACAAATATTTTGTTTCCATTTGAAGTACCATTATTTATTGTTTCTTGATTTACGCAATTATCATTCAAAAACAAGGGAATCAATTTTTAACTAATCATTTTTCTAAATAATCGACTAGTTTAATTAATTTATTTCATATACAAACTACATATCTAAATTAAGTAAATAAATAAATGTTGGTAATAAATTTATTAATTTTATAAAAAAATAAGGCAGAGTAATTTGATTACATTCTAATTCAATATTAAATCAGCTTACACATACTCTGTTTATAGTTTTAGTATATTCTTCATTTTTTCATTTTGATAATACAACTTCGGTATACACTTTTTAAATAGGTCGCTACTACGAATTGGTAATTAATGGCACATATTCTGCTAATTTAAATTATTAATATAAAAATTTAAAGAAAATTACAATGAAACTTAATATTATCTAATGGGCCATATTTTTCTTATCATTGTTATATATGAAACGTTATAAACTTTGTCGAAGTATTGGGTCTAAATGTAAGTTTCCAGCGTTTTTTCGTAAAATTTGAGGATTTATTCTGAAAAAGTGGTTACATATTTTTTATTCGAAATATTGTCCATCGGAAGATACAATTTTTTCCCATCTTTCTGGCAACTTGTGAATTCCGAACCAAAAAAAGTTCTCATCTTTTGAACCCAAGAACGTATTGAGCCAATTTTTGATTCCCTATACTGAAGTGAAGCGCATTCCGGTAAGAGCGTTCTGCATCAACCGAAACAAGTGGTAGTCGAATGGCGCCAAATTTGGACTATAAGGCAAGTGAGGTAGAATTTTCCATCCACTATTATCCAAATAGTTTTTGATCGAAGCAGCAACATGTGGCCGAGTGTTGTCGTGATGAAAAATTACGGACACGTGCCTGGTCTGATATTCTGGCCGTTTTTCCGCCAATGCCCGCTTTAAGCGAATTAGTTGGGTATGATACAATGGTCCTTTGATGGTTTGACCACTCGGAAGCAGTTCGTAGTATACTCTTCTGATCCCACCATAGCAAAGCATGACCTTATTCATGTGAATATTTCGCTTCGGGGCCGATTTGGCTTGCTCGCCAGGCTTTTCATACGTTTTTTTGCGTTTAGGATTATCATAATAGATCCACTTTTCGTCACCAGTGACAATACGATGCAGAAACGACTTTTTTTTATGCTGCTGCTGCAACATTTCTGACATGCAAAATCGCCGTTCGACATCTCTCGGCTTCAACTCGTACGGCACCAAATTTCCAACTTTTTGAATGAATCCCAAAGCTTTTAGGCGCAGGGAAATAGCTTGTTGTGTAGCGCCCAATGATGCAGCAAGCTCTTCTTGAATTTGACACGGATCCTCATCCATCAAAGCCTCCAATTTCTCGTCTTCAAAATTTTTCCTTGCGCTCCTTGTCTTCAACGTCAAAATCACTATTTTTGAACCGTTTGAACCACTCACGACACGTCGATTCACTAATACATTCCGCCCCGTAAGTTTATAGAAGTAAACGATAGGTCTCAGCTGCACTTTTCTTCATATTAAAGAATAGAAACAGCGCTTCCCATGTTTTTGCTTCATAAAATATACGACGCCGATAGAAATGCGCAAATATGATGATACAATATTATTAACTGATACACAAGCTTCCAAAATGACACATGAGATGTGACATTTCTGCCCGGAATCTACTCGTGACACCATCTTTAAAAAATGCTGGAAACCTACTTGTAGTCCCAATAAAAAAAAAAAAGGTTTATAAGTGTTTATAGGTTTATAAGTTATATATATATATATATACTTTTTGTAGGTATGTATATATCAGATTTATTTCCTACTGATCAATCTGCTAAACACAATTTTATGAAATATTTTTTTTTTTTTTTTTTGAACGAATTTTTTCAATGTTACCAAGGGCGGGAATCATTGTTCATGTGGTCTTTTAAGTAAGGTCTTTAGAAAAACTTGACCTTGGCTCGAGAAAGCTCGACGTTGATATTGAGCTTTCAATATTTCGTAACGATAGCATAGGGCTGATGTTTCATTTAAAGATAAGTATCCGTTCTCGCGTTCGATCAAATCGAACGTTCTTGTGATATAGAAATGTTTGCTGAAAAAAAACTAGAGAGCGGGAAAGAAAGAATGAGAGAATGAGAGAAGGAAATTCTTATCTTGAATTTTTTGATTCCTTTTTTCTTGTTTTTTTTATCCTCAATTTTTTTTTTTTTAAATATTAGTAAAATTTTTCGAGATTCATTATTTCAAACTTTAACCAAAGCAAACTAATTCTATTTTAATTTATACAGAAATAGTCATTGAAGTGAAAAATTGATGCGTTGCATCAAACGATCTGTAAACGTTGATATCCATTTGCAAATTATTCTCGTATCGTATCACGTTGCGTATTAGTATGCGTATCATATTTGGGTGTTATCCGTGTATGATCTATCAGGAGAAAAATGCATTTCAAATATTTTATCTTGGTATGTCATTATTTGTGTTGTTATTAGTATTATTATTATTATTGTTGTTTTTATTATTATTATTATTATTATTATTATTATTATTATTATTATTATTATTATTATTGTTGTTGTTTTTATTATTATTATTATTATTATTATTATTGTTGTTTTTATTATTATTATTATTATTATTATTATTATTATTATTATTATTATTATTATTATTGTTGTTGTTGTTTTTATTATTATTATTATACATTTTTCCACCTCATTAATATACATTACTTGTAACAGATATAGAGTGTAATTTTAAATCCAACATTAACATTAACATTTAAATTCAACATATTCAGGTGTTCGATTAATTCTAACTATCCTTGTATAATGACTGGATTATTTTGAGAACATTGCACAAATGATAATTGGTACTGTATAATAGACTAAATTTATAAAGAAAACAACAAAGAGATTTACCGTGTTAAAATGAGATGATTCTACTGGAATCTCGCAGTCCAATAACATAGATACGCAATACATAATATAGTTACGTACTTTAAGTATTCCCATTTTACATTTTCATACCTAAAAATTTAATACACCTGTTAATCCACATTTATACGCAACGATGATCCAATAGGAAAATTAAGTAAAACATTGTTACATCTCTTTCATATCTTTGTTTTACTTTTGTAAATGTGATATAATACATAAATATGTATTAGAAAATTTAGTTCCTGTAACCCTTTCAGTACTGCATACTTTCTACTGAAGTTTTTCTTACAGAGAACCTAACAATTGCAATCGCTGTAGTGGATTGGACTTTTTTTCGCTGGTACAAATATACAGAGTGCAACTAACAAGTTATTATTTTCTTTATACACCTTTTTACACCATAAATAGATATACACAATACCATGGTAGAAATAGTATGGTATGAAACAAAAGCAATCATTGTTATAACATATACGAGTAAATTCAAAACTATTTCAGTACTACTAGACACTATAGGAAATCTTTGGGAGTGACAACAACGTAGTGGACTTCTAATATAGAATGGTCTTATTGATAGGAACAAAGGTTTGTCACAAGCTTAAGCAAATCTTCTATTGAAATGTCACTTTGATAATGTTTGTGAATTAGACAAAAGGTAATACGATCAAGATCAAAGATAATCCAAGAGCGACGATGATGAAGAAACGAAATGCGAATGTTTGTATTACTTAAAAATTTTCATAAAGTCGAAATAGTGTTTTAATTTTTTGAGAAATGAACAATTTAAAACAATTCTAAAAATATTTTTAGAATTTATAACTATACAAGGTATCCCTGTATTCACATTAGATTTACGAATGTTTTATTTCCTACTTTTTAAAAACACAAACATTGTTGTCGAATGAAGAAGTGGAAAGAGGGAGAAAAATTAACATTTACGTATATTTTATTACGGCATTAAAAATTAACATATATTTTTAAAATATCATATTTAAGTTTTATATATATATATATAACAAAAAAATTTGGCATTAGTAAAATTGGCTCAGTCCTTAAATTTAGTGTTAATGTTCAAACTTTGTCAGTATATTTTATGGCTCTAAATAAGAAAAAAATTTACTTTTAATTTTGATAGTAATTAAAACTAGTAATAGTTACTAGTAAGTTACACATTTGATCTTTGATAGCTGTCAATCAAGCCTAATCAAGAATGGTAGACATTTTGAGAATGGTATATTAATTTACTCTGGAAGTGACGATTATGTTAAATAATAAACAAATATTAGATTAGTGCATATGAAATGTCGGATTTTCACCTTGCCAATTTCAGAAAGATGTCGCAATATCGTTGTATGGTCAACCTCCATCTTGGTAGCAAGTTCCCTCGTGGATACAGTTTGATTCGCTTCCACTAATGCCTTCAGATCATCATTTTTCACGGTCGTTTGGGGTCTTCCTCGCGGTTCGTTTTGTAGGGAAAAATCACCAGACCGAAATTTTTCAAACCAACGCTGCACTTTTCGATCGGTAATAGTATTCTCCCCAAACGCCTGGTTTATGTTGCATGCAGCTTTTGCAGCATTATTACCAAGTTTATACTCATACAAGAAAATGACAAGAATTTCGGTGGAATTCATATCGGTACAAAATTTAAAAGAAATAACAAAAGGGAATACTTTTGAGAAAATCTCCTTTGTTGAAATGTGACTCTGGCGATGGACATTACAACTATAAACGAGGTTATGCTAAAAACCAAAGCATAACGAAAACAGGAAGAGAAACGTTTGAACGTAAAAAAAATCCGACATTTCATATGCACCAACCTAATACATTAATTCATATAAGTCAATGTTCGTAGTAACAGCAAGTAGGTTACTGTTATTATTATTTGTATTCTGCATTTTTGTTACAACTTTTTAATGAAGCTCTATGTAACATATATTTCCATAACATTTTTTTTTATTTAGTGTCATAGAATATAGTGACAAAGTTTGATGATTAAAATCTGAGGTATACACTGTATATTAAATCAAGATAATTAATCAACCCCAAAACAACAAAAAGAACTGTAACAAAATAAAGTGATAAAATGAATTTTTATTTTAATAGAAAAAAGCTTTAGTATTTCAAAACAGAGAAGTGCATTTTTTTGTAGTTAGCCCTAAATATAGTCTAAAGTAAACCCTGTATGGGGCAAATTTTTGTTTTTAATATAAAAAAAATTGATTGAACGGAAAATCAGCAATTATGAACCTATGAAAAATTCCCCACATAAAAAAAAATTGTCCATTTTAAACAATTTTATTACAATAAATTGACAATGTTTTTTTTTTTTTTCAGGTAACAACTGCTTATAATGTTTCCACTTTTGCGTATAAAAACTTAAACGTGAAATTTTGCGAATCAGTTTGCACTTTGCGTTAAACATAGTATATCGCATTTTTTATCACATTGCAATGCATACGTATTGATATAGTCAACTATGTCATTTATAATTTCCGTGTCAAATAGTTTTCGAAAATAGGTCACAGGAGAGTAGGGTGCTTCGGGGACATTAGGGCAATCTCTTTTCCAAGGGCAATGAAAACTACTATTATACGTCTGGGATACTGGTTGAAAAGCAATTCCTCGTGGTCTTGAATTTTCGTCATCCGACGAGGATTGCTTACTAAATTTTTCGTCACTATTAATAATATTTAACCGTTGTCGGAGAGATATTATTAGTACTATACTTCATCAGACTCAGAATCTAATAATGAATCTTCGGATTTTTTATTTTTATCTGATTTTGCGTTCATATTATTGGGAATATTATGTATAAATCTAAAAACAGGAAAAAACACAAGTTTTATTCTATATATACCGAAATTTAGAGCTATTATGTAAACTATTTTTTATTCGGTAAACAACGAAAAAGAAGCAAAAATAATATCAATCAGAGCAAACGGTGATTCGCTTGATTCTACTGCAGATAGTTTGCACAGCATTTATTTTGTTACTTTAGGTTGATGGTACTAACAACCGTCATGAATATTGGTATTGGTTACTTCTAAACATTATTTAATAAAATGTCAGAAAATGAGCGTGTTACTTGAAAGTTACATGGACCCATTAAGAGTTTAAGAATATTCTAAATAAATGCGATAGGTAAGATAAAGTAAAGAATTGTAGAAGATCAGTAGAAGCTGCATATTCATGAACTAGGTAAATACGAAATCTGAGAAAATAGAAAGAATGAAGGAAGATAGAAAGAAAGAAAGGAAGAAAAAAGAAGGATGCAATTGGAAAGCCGTAGGGGTGTCGGAAACGATGGTTGAGTTGGTAATGTTGGGAAAGTACAAGGTAGGACGTACCTCGTGAAGGGGAAAGAAGAGAAGAGTTTGAATAGTGGTGAAGAGAAGGGAAGAGAAGAGTAGTTAGAGTGGGGGAGACAAGTGTGAGAGAAACTAGGACGAGAGGTGCGAGCCCAGGATGGGTTGCACTGCTTCTAGCTCGGTCCACTGACACGAAACCGTCCACTCCTGTCTCGTAGGTGGAGGAAGGATAGAGAAAGAGGCTGAATGAGGAGCAAAGGAGGTGGGTGGGTGACTAGGTTGAGTATTCAACCATCCCCTCAAACCCCCCACCCCTCGCTATCTTTTCCACGGGCACAACCTACTTTGCTACCTATTTCGTTCCGTTCCAACGGAATGTGGGTCACACAGGACGACAAATCGTCTTATTCCAATGATCTGCATCCTTCCAATCTTTACAGACAGACACATGGATTCACCCAGTAGCAAAACTCTTTACCTACTTTCTTACACATACGGTTTAGACGATTCAAAACTAAGTTGTTCTTTTATATCTTGAATACAACTTTGGTACTCGTGTTGTTTTTATATCAGCCATTTGAGAGGATGGAGGTGGGTGGTTGGTTGAGTGAGGGGTATTTTATTCGATTCGCAGATATTTATAAATTAATAATATTCGTGAATCGTAAACAAGGAAGGGTCCTTTACCTATAAATTTATTTATCTATATCCCTAACCCCTTTTCTTTCTCTCTCTCTTTCACTCTCTGTCTTTCTCTTTCTATTTCTCTCTCTTTCTGTAAATTGATTGATCCATGCGAAGTATGTCTGATTACAGAGAGGGGACATTCTGTATTTAAAGCAAATTACTCCCCATTGCGCTTGTAATCAACCTTAGAGTTTCCCTATGAAGTAATATCACATCTGAGGATCTAATTGCAACATCAATGTTATATAGTTAGAACAAATCGTTTCGACCGTTATTCAAACACTCTCTTTAATTATCTTCATTTAATTGTAAGATTTAATTGGGAGTTCGTTCTTTTGATATTATATTTACTTATTTAAATTTTAACGTATCTTGATTTTCAATACTACAAAAGGGTTTTATAAATATTTCTTTTGAAGCTTATCTGAAACAGTAAATATTTCTTCCCTAAGAAGTTTCATTGTCCTTGAGGAGTAAGGCTAGTTTCAACTTTTGATCCCGAGTCCATTACGTACTTTTACCTTTTCTCCTCATCTTTTTCTTTTCTTTGTTCATACGGCTTCTTCGTTTCTTATTAGCTTTGTATACGCCTCATTAAAACTATAAAATCGTTTATATCTTTGCTGAAAAAGCAAGAAAACGTAATTCCGTTTTGCTATATTTGCAGATCACAATGAAATGAAATAAAATTTTGGAAGGAAATATTTCTTTAGAATTGGGGTGATTTAACCCTTTCGCTACGAGCACCGGAATTCGATGACCTGTGTGTACGAGCGCCAGAATTAGACGGCCTCTTCCAAATACCTGTGAATACGAGCGCCGGATCTTGACGTTAGCTCGGCGGCGCGGTGCCTCGTATGGTGGCGTTACCCCGCGGAGCAGACTGCCGTAACGAGAGGGTTAAAAATGGATAAAACGATGAAACGAAAAACTGACAAATCGCTAGATAACTAAAAAGAGACAAACATATATACGTCTGAAGGGTTGAGTCTGCGAGAGAATAAGATAGAATATAGTATACAGTTTTTCCTATTCTCAGTCTCCTCTTCCTGTGTTGCTTCGTAGTCCCCACTCCTAGCTACTGCGTTTTATATGTGTGTGTTTGTGTGCGACTGCATACTACGAAGCGTAGACTCAATTATCTTAATACACACACTTAAAAATATAAGCTAGTTCTTCGACTGGCCGCTAAACTATCCACGTTTTTCACAAACATAACTRTATTAAAATCTCTAAATAAGATTCGAGCATCAGAAAAGTTTGAGATACCCATTTACAGGATCATATCTGTAATATATTTTCAAATCTTCTCAGTGTAAGGCTGAATCGATGTAACTGCAATGAGGTGTTGTAGCTCTCTTTTGTAGGCGTCACGAAGGTTCAGAATTTCATTGGTAAGCTGATGGTCGTTCGCACCTTTCACTAATTGGGAGATAGAAGAAGCAGAGCTTTCACAGTAGATATTAAACGAACACTTAAAATTAAATACATTYTTAATAAATAATAATATTGAATAATAATGTGTTTCTTTAACAATGATTTTTGAAGAAGAAATTTCGTGAGATTCATTGTGATTCAAAACTCGAGGAAACGAAAAAATACGACCTGTCCTTTGTCAGGACATTTAAAGGATTTAGTTTYAACAACAAAAATACCTAGTTGTGGTAACCCATGATATAGATATCTCAAWTTCATAGAAAGACTATAATTTACCTGATTTTATCAAATTATATTTATTATATTTACTTAGGTTAGGACAGGGTATCTTTTCATTGATAAACATTCTACGATTTTTGTGTCGATCTATGGCTATCGCATTCGGCATTCCATTTTGATTACTAGAATTAGGAAAGTGTTAGTTTTTGTCAGCTACTTTCACAGTAAAATTACACCGGAGCCCTTTGTTATGTATGTGATGATAATATTATATAAAATAAACCCTACAATTATCTTACTTCTGATACTCTGCATTCTTCTAAGTCTCTCGAAGCTTGGTTTTTTGAAGGTTTCCCTTCTATCGTGTGTGATCTGCATACATGATATTTTTTTTTTTATTTATTTCACTCTCTGATTTCTTCCTTATAAGTATGAAAATATTATACAGAACATACTTGTCATATCATTTTATTCGGTTATATTGAACAGGAATGAGTGATTTTGATTTTTAATAAAATTGCTTAGGCTTGTTAAAATATCACTGTATTTTAGGGGTTTCCATATTTATTTGAATATATTGCTTACATTATTAACAATGTTTATCATTAATCATTTTTTTTTTAAAACATATACAAATGATTAAGTTTTGTTAACTTTTTAGTATTTTCACCTCTAAGATTAAATTGAAATCAAATTTTCGAGAATTTTGGGATATATAATGAATAACTTATTTTAAAAATGCACAAGAGAGTCTTATTTAGGTACAAAAAAATATGAATCAAAATTTTTTGACAATCAAAATAAAGATAAGTATGTATACAAATTTTCTAGAAGATTAAAAAAAAAAAATTTATGCACGAAATCAATGTTTTTAACAATATCAATTAAATTTGAAGAATAATATCATCAATCCATCAGATTTTTTCAAATCTCAAAAATTACCTTACTCCTTAACCGATTTCTAAGAATAAAAAGAAAAT